CTGGGATTACAGGCGTGAGCCGCCCCCTCACCCTGGCCAGAAGGCAGTATCTTTTTTTCCTCTGGCTGCTTTAAAAAGCTTGCCTTTGCTTTGAGCAGTTTTACACTGATGCATTTAGGTGGCCCTTCATTCCATGGCTTGATTCTTTTTTGTCCATTTTAGAAAATTCTCAGTTTTATCTCTTCAAGTATTATGTCTTCCCCATCTTCTCTGTACTCTCCTTATGAGACTCCAATTTCACATGACTTATACCTTGTTAAAGTATCCCCCATGTCTCTTAATCCATTTCCTGTATGTTTTATCTATTTTTCTCCTTGTACTTCATTTTGTATATTTTGTATCAAACTGTCTCCCAATTAACCGGGAGTGGTGGCAGGTGCCTGTAATCCCAGCTACTCAGAAGGCCAAGGTGGGAGAATTGCTTGAACCCGGGGAGCGGAGGTTGCAGTGAGCAGAGATCATGCCAAATCATGCCATTGCACTCCAACTTGGGTGACAGAGTGAGACTCTGTCTCAAAAATAAATAAATAAATAAAAATAAAAACCCTATCTCCCAGTTCACAATTTTTTTTTTTTTTTTGCATGTTTGTGTCTGCTGTTCAAATTGAGTTCCTAATTCCATTTTCTTTTCTTTTCTTTTCTTTTCTTTTTTTTTTTTTTGAGACTCAGTCTCTATCTGCTGCCCAGGCTGGAGTGCAGTGGTGAGATCTCAACTCACTGTAGCCTCCACCTCCCGGGTTCAAGTGATTCTCATGCCTCAGCCTCCTGAATAACGGGGATTACCACCATGCTGAGCTCATTTTTATATTTTTAGTAGAGGTGGTGCTTCGCCATGTTAGCCAGGCTAGTCTTGAACTCCTGGCCTCGTGTGATTCTCCTGCCTCTGCCTCCCAAAGTGCTGGGATTATAGGCCTAAGCCACCACTCCCAGCCTCCATTTTTAATAGTTGCTAGTTTTTTGATAAAATTCTTGTTTCTTTATATCCTTGAATATAGATATAAAGTATGTATTTTAAAGTACATGGTCTGAGAGTTTCATAATCTGGAGATCCTATGGGCCTTTTTAAAAGTTGTCTGTGCTTTCTCTTGAGCTTTGTTCCTGCTGTCTTATTTCCTTGTTTGCTTGGTTGTTTTTAATTTAGCACCGGAGGGTGTGTATAAAAATTGTTAGAGGCTGGGTGCGGTGGCTCATGCTTGTAATCCCAGCACTTTGGGAGGCCGAGGTGGGCAGATCTTGAGGTCAGGAGTTCGAGACCAGCCTGGCCAACACAGTGAAACCCTGTCTCTACTAAAAAGACAAAAATTAGCTGAGCGTGGTGGTGGGTGGCTGTAATCCCAGCTACTTGGAAGGCTGAAACAGGAGAATCGCTTGAACCCAGGAGGTGGAGGTTGCAGTGAGCTGAGATCGAGGCACTGCACTCCAGCCTGGGCAACAGAGTGAAATGCTGTCTCAAATAAATAAATAAAATAAAATAAAATAATTTGAGGCCTAGGAGTCTGAAATTCTGCGATGTCCTTCACGCAGTTTGTGTGACTGAGATGATCTGAAGCTGGATCCAGTGCTCTTGAGGGCTGCTCTATTTCTGGTTGACTGTCACTCCTGGAGTGAGAAACCTGCACCCCACGTGTGGGGCATTATGGCATTGCCTCCCTCAGCCACGTGAATAGGTCAACAGCACTGCTCTAGACCAGGTGTGGTGGCTCACGCCTACAGTCCCAGCTACTCGGGAGACTGAGGCAGGAGGATTGCTTCAGGCCAGGAATTTGAGACCAGCCTGAGCAATATATTAGGTTGGTACAAAGGTAATTGCGGTTTTTACCATTAAAAGTAATGGTGACCCTGTCTCAGCAAAATAAAAAGCCAAAAAAAAAAAGACAGAGAAAAAAGAAAAAAAAAATTACTGATCTATTTCTCAGCCTCCTCTTCAGGATTGGCCGTCGCCTTGAGGGGAATGCTGGCCTTGCCTGTCTCTAGCCCTGTACTTCTCTGCCTCCTATGCCATTAAGCATGTTTTCTATTTGCTAGGCTTTTCTAGTTCTCTGCGGGAATTGTGGTCTAAATTACAATCTCCCATTACCAGGAAGTCTGACTTACATTTAACATTTTTTTTTTTTTTTTTTTTTTTTTTTGAGACGGAGTCTCACTCTGTCGCCCAGGCTGGAGTGCAGTGGCGTGATCTTGGCTCACTGCAAGCTCCGCCTCCCGGGTTCATGCCATTCTCCTGCCTCAGCCTCCTGAGTAGCTGGGACTACAGGCGCCCGCCACTACGTCTGGCTAAGTTTTTGTATTTTTAGTAGAGACACGGTTTCACCATGTTAGCCAGGATGGTCTCAATCTCCTGACCTTGTGATCTGCCTGCCTCGGCCTCCCAAAGTGCTGGGATTACAGGCGTGAGCCATCGTGCCCAGCCTTAGCAGATTTTTTTTTTTAATGTAAGGGAGCAAGGCTGACGCTGGGGCCTGGGTAGGGGGCCATTGCAATAACCCAGGTGAGGGAGGTTGGTGGCTTGGACCAATGTGGTGGAGATGGAGGTAGAACCTCCAACCTGAGTCGCTGGTGGGTTGGATGTGGGGAAGGAAGAAAGTGACCAATCCAGGATGGCTCCAGGGTGTAGGCGCTGAGCAAAAGGGGGAGTGGTTGTGTCCATTTCTAAGACAATGAGGACTAGGAGATGAGCCATTTCACGGGGAGGGTTGGAAGGAAAATCAAAAGTACAGTTTAGGTCATGGTATGTTTGAAATGTTTCTTAGACATCCAGAGCAGGTATCTTGTGCATAGCTGGGTATAAGTGTCTGGAGTGTAGGGACAGGACTGGCTGGAGATAAAGTTGGGGAGTTACCAGCACACAGGTTGCATCTCATGCCATGAGCCTAGATGGAGTCACCCAGGGAGAAGAGATAGGTGCACAAGGACCACAGACCAAGCTGGGGCACCCAACATCAGGAGTCGAGGGAGGTGGGAGGAAAATCAAAGCCTGGCAGCGTAGGGGAGGTGGGTGCAGGGTCCCAGGCTGTTTCCTCTTGGGGCTTAGGTTTCCCCATCTGTAACCATTTTCCCCATCCTGCCCAGGAAACCAAGACAACTGACAAGGCTGGAAGCAGACAGGTTGGGGAAGCAAGGGTGCACTCCATTTAGTTAGGAGGTGAGGCCTTTGTCTGCGATGGGAATTTAAAGTGTTTTTCCCTCCAGTTTGTCATTTGGCTTTGTTTATGGTGTTTTATTCTTATTAAAATTAGTGCTTATGCCTGACTTGTTTATTTCATCTTCTGGCTTTGCGCTCTCTTTCCCATTCCAAGATTACATGTGTCCCTGTGGCGCCCATGTGTGCCACGTTGGGCCCAGGGAGGGCCATGTGGCTCAGGAGCTGGGGAGGGTTTGTGTCCAGATGGAACCGCCACGTCAGGCCACAGACACCTTAGCCGAAGGAGGGTGCAAGGGCCAGAGGTCCTATGGGTGGGTGCAGGGACCCAGGTCCACTCCCTCTTTGGGCCTTGGTTTCCCCATCTGCAACTGGGATTTAAATGCTGGCTTCTGACCGGGCGCGGTGGCTCATGCCTGTAATCCCGGCACTTTGGGAGGCTGAGGTGGGCAGATCACCTGATGTCGGGAGTTCGAGACCAGCTTGACCAACATGGAGAAACCCTGCCTCTACTAAAAATACAAAATTAGCCGGGCATGGTGGCACATGCCTGTAATCCCAGCTACTCGGGAGGCTGAGGCAGGAGAATCACTTGAACCTGGGAGGCGGAGGTTGTGGTGAGCTGAAATCGTGCCATTGCCCTATAGCCTGGGCAACAAGAGCGAAACTCCGTCCAAAAAAAAGAAAAAGTTGGCTTCTTGAGGTTCTGGGGAGCATTCCTGGGTGTAAGGGAAGAGGTTGTCCTCAGTGAGCTGTGCAGGCCTGTGCCCCAGGGACAGGGTCACAGTGTAGGCCAGGCTGACCAGCCCCTCAGCACTGAAGGGCCCACCTCTTGCTGCCCATGACAGATGGGGAGGGGTAGGCCAGAGCATGCATTTATTTTCTTTCTTTCTTTCTCTCTCTCTTTCTTTCTTTTTTTTCTTCCTTTCTTTTCTTTTTTTCTTTCTTTTCTTTCATCTTTTTCTTTCTTTCTTTTCTTTCTTTCTCTTTCTTTCCTTCCTTCCTTCCTTCCTTCCTTGTCTCTCTCTCTCTCTCTCTCTCTCTCTTTCTGAGACACTCTTGCTCTGTTGCCAGGCTGGAGTACAATGGTGCGATTTTGGCTCACTATAACCTCTGCCTGCCAGGTTCAAGCAATTCTCCTGCCTCAGCCTCCTGTGTAGCTGGGATTACAGGTGCCCACCATCACATTCAGCTAAGTTTTGTATTTTTAGTAGAGACAGGGTTTCACCATGTTGGCCAGGTTGGTCTCGAACTCCTGACCTCAAGTGATCCACCTGCTTTGGCCTCCCAAAGTGCTGGGATTACAGGCGTGAGCCACCATGCTTGGCCTAGGCCAGAGCATTTCCATAGGCTCAGGGCCCCAGGAGAAGTTGTGGGGCCTGTCAGCTCAAGCCCCATGCCCTGGTGGTGGGAAGGATCCTGCGGTCACCTGCCAAAGACCAGCTTTGAAGTAGTTGTGGCCAGAGTGTCCCTAGTGAGATGGGGAGTGGAGTCGCATGGTGGGCTCCCAGGGCCATTGTGAGGGACTGAGAGGTGGCCTAGGCCGGGTTCTGCCTATGGCATATGAGCTGGTGCTGCTGGGAGTAATGGCAACAGAAGCACTTTGCAAACTGAGAAGCACCTTGTATATGGCAAAGGTCAGTGTAAATGGCATCACACTTTGCAGCTGTAGAATGTTGTGGACTGTGAGCAGCTGGATTTGATGGGGAAGCCTGGTTGTGTTCTGTGACCTAATCTGGGATTTGGTGGCAGCAGATGGGCCACCTCTGTCACCATTCTCCAATGAGTGCCAGCTGAGCAAGCCTAGTGGGGAGGCAGGGGGAGGGGAGCCCCACCGCCGACTCTGTGCCGTGTCCCCTAGAGCCATCCTCCAGCAGCAGGGCTCACCAGTGGACGCCACCATCGCGGCTCTGGTCTGCACCAGCGTCGTCAACCCTCAGAGCATGGGCCTGGGCGGAGGGGTCATCTTCACCATCTACAATGTGACAACAGGTGGGCCCACATGTGACCTGCCATGGGGAAGATGGGCTTGTCCACACCACAGAGGAACCCCTTCTCCAGCCAGTCCCATCCACTCAAGACCACTTCTGGGTGCTCTTGGGCCCCCTGCCCTGCCCCCTTCACCTCAGCTGTGCAAAGCCCTTGTGTCAGCTCCTGTCCCCCTGTTAGCCCAGAGTCCACCTCATAATGCAGAGATGGAAACTGAGGCCTGGAGCAGGCCAGGGGCTGTCTGCAGGGTCCATGACCACTCACCTGCCTGCCCTACTCCAGGGAAGGTGGAGGTCATCAATGCCCGGGAGACAGTGCCAGCCCGCCACGCCCCGAGCCTGCTGGACCGGTGTGCACAGGCTCTGCCGCTGGGTAGAGGTGAGGCCCCACGGGGGTCCCCCACTCCCACCCCCCAGGCCACTAGGACTGACCACAACACCCCCCAAAGGATCAGTACCTCACGGACAGGCTGTGACTCCCTGGCACTGGGGGACAGGGAGCCTGTGGGGAACCCCCAACCCCAACCTGCAGAGATTGAGGGATTGGGAAGGTCCCCCTTGGGAACGGGCGATCTGAGGTGATCCCGCGAGAGGGGCCAGGCTGGACAAAGGCCTGGAAGGTTGAGTGGAGATGGGTTGGTGGGACAGGGTGGGGCTCCTGGGGCCAGTTTGTGCAGGGCCCCTTGGGCCTGGCCATAGATTTTGTGGGGAGCCACAGGTGGTCTGAGCAGGGAGGGACATGGTCGGGTGTGGGCTCCAGAAAGCTCACTCTGGCTGCTGTAGCTGGGGGGCCACACGTAGGGGTGATGGCAAACCCCTGGGAAGGCCTGGAAGCCACAGGTTTGAGAGCTGGGATGTGCCATGCAGGGGCCCAGTGGATCGGGGTGCCTGGGGAGCTCCGTGGCTATGCCGAGGCCCACCGCCGCCATGGCCGCCTGCCCTGGGCGCAGCTGTTCCAGCCCACCATCGCCCTTCTCCGAGGGGGGCACGTGGTGGCCCCCGTCCTCAGCCAGTTCCTGCACAACGGCTTCCTGCGGCCTTCCTTGCAGGCATCAACCCTGCGGTGAGCCCCACATGGTGGCCCTGGGCTCCTGGGTTCAAGGCCACATCCTGTCTGGGCCCAGTCCACACCCCAGCTCTGCCTCAGTCCCTCCTACACTGGAGGATTGACCCTCGGGGTGCTGGGGACCTTAAGGCCCGGACAGAGAGCACTTTCCTGTCTCAGTTCATGGCCTTCCGGTCCCCTGTGGCAGAGCCTAACTCAGGTGAGGCTGGGGGGAGTTTGTCGCCCAAGTGCTAGGACTCCACGGTGTGGATTTGGGCTCTGCCACCCGCCCTGGCCCCGGCCTCCTCCCTCTCTCTGGCATGGCAGGAGGGCTTCAGCTGCCACTCTCACCCGCCCCACCCAGCCCACTGGCAGCCCCTCCCAGGAGTGAGATGACAGGCCCTAGCTGGACCCAGGCCCCACTGGGAAATCTGCCCTCCCTGGACCAGGGCCATGAGTGGGGTGGGTGGTGTCAGTCCCACCGCCTCCTAGGGAATCTGTACCCTGGTGTCCACCCTAGCGCCTCGGGACCCTGGGTCAGGGCACCCCCACTGTAGGGTCCTGAGGACTCCACCCACGAGAGCCCCGGAAGAATGTGGCTGCCTCTAGGACCTGCCCCACCCTGAGGCTCCCCCCCATTCCCCAGCCAGCTCTTCTTCAACGGGACAGAACCCCTGAGGCCTCAGGACCCACTCCCATGGCCTGCGCTGGCCACCACCCTGGAGACCGTGGCCACAGAGGGTGCGGAGGTCTTCTACACGGGGAGGCTGGGCCAGATGCTGGTGGAGGACATTGCCAAGGAAGGTCAGCCTCCCTGAGGTCCCATACCCTGTCCCTGCTGGAGGAAGAGCCAAGTTCTAGGCACTGGGGTTGAGGGCAGGCTCCTTCCCAGAACCTAAGGGTGTGCTGGAGGTGCCTGGGACCCCGAGAGGCCATGCACCTAGCTCTGCCAGCCCAAGGACCCCTGTGGTCCAGGACCTCAGAGAGCAGAGCCTGTGGGTTAGAGCCAGCAGAGGAGTGTTACTGATGGTCACAACAGGCCTGGGTAGCCGAGCTGACCATTCTCACAGGCTCTCAAAGGCCAGCTCCCTCTCCCATCTTCCCCTTCACCTCCCCAGCCTCCCTGCCTCTGGTCTCTGTCCACCCCTCCATGCCTGGCCCCAAGGGGCCGGTCCTGAGGCTACCGCCTACAGACCAACCATCACCCTCTGTGTCCACAAGGCTAGAGCATGAGTGGGATCCCATTGTGTGACCTGACACCAGTGGCTATTCCTCCCTGCCTCAGTTTCCCCATCTGTTCATGGAGCCCTCCCCATCTCACCCCAGGGAGCCAGCTGACGCTGCAGGACCTGGCCAAGTTCCAGCCCGAGGTAGTGGACGCCCTGGAGGTGCCCCTGGGGGACTATACCCTGTACTCACCACCGCCACCTGCAGGGGGTGCCATTCTCAGCTTCATCCTCAATGTGCTAAGAGGTAAAGCCCCTGCCCAGAGCCCTGGCCCCCCACACCCGGGAACTCAGACTCCAAGCCCAGCCAAGGCCCAGCTCAGCCTCCTCCTCCATAAACCGGGTTCACAGATGCACAATGTGAAGACTGAGCTGTGTAAACCAGTGATGATGGTGGGTTTTAGAGTTGACCTCCAGCTCCACCCATACCTGAGGCTTTGCTGAACGGCGTGACATCATTTGTCCAGAGTCCTCCTCCCGCTAGGTGACCAGTCCCAGACACAGAAGCAGGTGGGCTGTGTGGGTGGTGAGCTGCCCGTCAGGGACATGCACCTGGGGGAGCGAAACCAGCCCAGCCCAAGGCAGCCTGCAGGGGGTTCTGGCAGTGCCAAGGCCTGGGGCTGTCTGCACTGGCTTAATATTAGTGTCCTGTGTCTGCCATTACAAATCACCACAAGCTTGGTGGCTTAAAATAATAGCACTGTGTCCTCTCACAGTTCTGGAAGCCAGAAGCCCGATATCTAGGTGTCCACAGGGCTGCATTCCCTTGGGGGCTCCAGGGCAGAGTCTGTTCTTTGCCTTGTTGACCTAAATAAAAAACAAAACAAGGCTGTTGTTTCTTTGAACAACATTCAGAGAAAATGATGTTTATTCCAGAGTAGGCATCGCAGTGGGAATACCCACGCTACGGTAAACTGTGTGTGTGTTCAGGGAGATGAAGGAAGACAAAAGTTCTCAAAAAGAAAATGAGGAAGAGTATATAACTTTTTTGCTTATTATCAATGATAATTTATTGTATATTTTATTTTTTTCATTGCATTGTTATTATTATTATTGAGATGGTGTCTTGCTCTGTCGCCTAGGCTAGAGCACAGTGGCACAATCTCGGTTCACTGCAAGCTCTACTTCCTGGGTTCAAGCAGTTCTCCTGACTCAGCCTCCCAAGTAGCTGGGATTACAGGCATGGGCCACCACATGCCGCTGATTTTTATCTTTTCTTTTTTTCCTTTTTTTTTTTTTTTTTTTGAGACAGTCTTGATCTGTCGCCCAGACTAGAGTGCAATGGCGTGATCTCAGCTCATTGCAACCTCTGCCTCTCAGGTACAAGCGATTCTCCTGCCTCAGCCTCCCAAGTAGCTGGGATTACAGGTGCTTGCCATCACACCCGGTTAATTTTTGTATTTTTGGTTGAGATAATTTTGCCATGTTGATCGGGCTAGTCTTAAACTCCTGATGTCAGGTGATCTGCCCACCTCGGCCTCCCAAAGTGCTAGGATCACAGGCTTGAGCCACCATGCCCAGATGATTTTTTTCTTTTTAGTAGAGACGGGGTTTCACCATGTTGGCCTGGCTGGTCTTGAACTCTTGACCTTAACTGACCCACTTGTCTCAGCCTCCCAAAGTGCTGGGATTTCAGACGTGAGCCACCTCTGCCTGGCTATTTTATTTTTATTTCATTAGTTTTGGGGGAACACATGGTGTTCAGCTGCATGGAAAAGTTATTTAGTGGATGACTTCTTTTTTTGAGATGGAATCTCACTCTGTGGCCCAGGCTGGAGAGTGGTGGCATGATCTTAGCTCACTGCAACCTCTGCCTCCCAGATTCAAGCAATTCTCCAATCTCAGCCTCCTGAGTAGCTGGGATTATAGGTGTACACCACCAAGCCTGGCTAATTTTTGTATTTTTTTTTCCTTTCTTTCTTTTTTTTTTTTTTTTTTTTTTTGTAGAAATAGGGTTTCACCATGTTGGCCAGGCTGGTCTCGAACTCCTGACTTCAAGTGACCTGCCTGCCTCAGCCTCCCAAAGTGCTGGGATTACAGGCATGAGCCACTGCACCTGTCCTTTAGTGGTGATTTCTGAGACCTTGGTGCACCCATTACCCAAGCAGTACACACTGTACCTAGTGTGTAGTCTTTTATCCCTCATCCGCCTCCCACCCTTGCCCTTGAGTTCCCATGGTCCATTATAGCATTATCCCCCCGAGACAGAGTCTCGCTCTGTCACCAAAGTTGGGGTGCAATGGTGCATCTCGGTTCACTACAACCTCCGCCACCTGAATTCAAGCAATTTTCCTGCCTCAGCCTCCCAAGTAGCTGGGATTACAGGCGCCTGCCACCACATCTAATTTTTTTTTTTTTTTTTTTTGTATTATTAGTAAAGATGGGGTTTCACCATGTTGGCCAGGCTGGTCTTGAACTCCTGACCTCAGGTGATCCGCCTGCCTTGTCCTCCCAAAGTGCTAGGATTATAAGTGTGAGCCACCATGCTGGGCCCCATTATATCATTCCGTTTTTTTGGAGATGGAGTTTCACTCTTGTCACCCAGGCTGGAGTGCAACGGTGCGATCTCAGCTCACTGCAACCTCCACCTCCCAGTTCAAGCGATTCTCCTGCCTCAGCCTCCCGAGTAGCTAGGACTACCCGTGTGTGCCACCATGCCCAGCTAATTTTTGTATTATTAGTAGAGACAGGGTTTCATCATGTTAGCCAGACTGGTCTCGAACTCCTGAACTCAGGTGATTCACCCGCCTTGGCCTCCCAAAGTGCTAGGATTATAGGCATAAACTACCGTGCCTGGCCCAGTATATTGTTTTTATTCCTTTGCGTCCTCATAGCTTAGCTTTGGTATATAACTGTTTTGGGCCTGGCTTGGTAGCTCATGCCTGTAATCCCAGCACTTTGGGAGACCAAGGCGGGCAGATCACAAGGTCAGGAGATTGAGACCATCCTGGCTAGCACAATGAAACCCTGTCTCTACTAAAAATACAAAAAATTAGCCAGGCATGGTGGTGGGCGCCTGTAGTCCCAGCTGCTTGGGAGGCTGAGGCAGGAGAATGGTGTGAACCCAGGAGATGGAGCTTGCAGTGAGCCGAGATCATGCCACTGCTCTCCAGCCTGGGGGACAGAGTGAGACTCCGTCTCAAACAAACAAACAAACAAACAATCAAAGAAAAAACCGTTTTGAAATGATCATCTTTGGTTACTGGGATGCATGGAAAAGTGATAAGGGTGGCAGTAGTCTGAGGCTGGACAGGCCACTCCTGGGCAGATGTCTTTGCAGAAGTATTTTTTGTGTAAGGTTGTGATGGCCTTTGTGTAAGGTTGTGAGTTGTTTGTTTTTTGAGGCAGGGTGTTGCTCTATCACCCAGGCTGGAGTGCAGTGGCACTGTCAAGGCTCATTGCAGCCTCAACCTCACCTCAATCCTGTCACCTCAGCCTTCCAAAGTGCTGGGATTACAGGTGTGAACCACCGCACGTGGCCGCAGCTCTATTTTGACAATTTTCACCGCCTCTTACCACTTCCGGTGGCTGCCAGCGTTCCTTGGCTTGTGGCTGCCTCACTCCAGTCTCTGTCTCCATGGTCACACTGGTTTCTCCTCTGCTCTGTGTGTCCTCTCCTCTGTGTGTCTGTCTTACAAGTACACTGTGATCACATTCAGGGCACTTCTAGATAATCCAGGATCATCTCCTCCTCTCAAAATCTTTTACACACTTTAGGCTGGGTGTGGTGGCTCATGCCAGTAATCCCAGCACTTTGGGAGGCTAAGGCGGGTGGATCACTTGAGGTCAGGAGTTGGAGACCAGACTGGCTAACACAGTGAAGCCCTATCTCTACTAAAAATACAAAAATTAGCCAGGCATGGTGGCGTGCGCCTGCAGTCCTAGCTACTCAGAAGACTGAGGCGAAAGAATCACTTGAACCCAGGAGGTGGAGATTGCAGTAAGCTGAGATCGCGCCACACACTCCAGCCTGGGTGACAGAGGAAGACTCCTCCAAAACACACAAAAAAGGCGGGGCATGATGGCTCATGCCTGTAATCCCAGCACTTTGGGAGGCCAAGGCAGACAGATCACTTGAGGCCAGGAGTTTGAGACCAGCCTGAACAACATGGCGAAACCCTGTCTCTACTAAAAATACAAAAAAAGAAAAAAATTAGCTGGGCGTGGTGGTGAATGCATGTAGTATCAGTTACTCAGGAGACTGAGGCACAAGAATTCCTTGAACCTGGGAGATGGAGGTTGCAGTGAGCTGAGACTGCACCATTGCACTCCCGCCTGGGCGACAGAGTGAGACTCTGTCTCAAAAAAAATCGTTAACATACTTTTCCACTTAAGGTATTAGTCACTCTTGTGCTGTATAAGGTAGTATCCACAGGTTTTGGGAATTAGGATGTGGGTGAATCCTTCTGCAGAGGGGGGGCAACATTCAACCCTTTACATAGGGTGACCCCAACCTGTGCCCCGACCTCTCTCCAGGGTTCAACTTCTCAGCAGAGTCTGTGGCCAGGCCTGAGGGGAGGGTGAACATGTACCACCACCTTGTGGAGACGCTCAAGTTTGCCAGGGGGCAGAGGTGGAGGCTGGGGGACCCTCGCAGCCACCCGAAGCTCCAGGTGAGGTTGCTAAGGTTGCTGGGCTGGGGGGTTATCCTCCTCCCTGGCTCAGGACTTAGCATGAAAGGAGGGTCAGGCCCGGCACGGGGAGGTTGGAGGGAGATGTATGTGGTTCTAGGCCAGGGCAGGACTGAAAGGGATCCCGGGGTGGCAAGTACAGGGGTCAGGTGCAGGAGTGGCACCATATCTCAAAGGACCTGGAGGGTGGGCAGAGTCTAGACCTAGCCTGGGCTTGAGGGAGGCCTGGCCACAAGGTAGAGGACAGATTGGAGGTGGCCCCCATGGGGGCTGAGCTTGTCCTGCCCTTGGTTCTGTGGATCCCGCTTGGCCCCTCACTGACCCTGCCACCTGCCCACCCACCCCAGAATGCCTCCCAGGACCTGCTGGGGGAGACCCTGGCCCAGCTCATCCGCCAACAGATCGATGGCCGGGGGGACCACCAGCTCAGCCACTACAGCTTGGCCGAGGCCTGGGGCCACGGGACAGGCACATCCCACGTGTCTGTGCTGGGGGAGGATGGCAGCGCCGTGGCTGCCACCAGCACCATCAACACACCGTGCGTGGGGCCTGGGGGAAGGCTGGTGGCCTCACTCCTCCTCTCCTAGACCTGCACTCCCCCAGCCCCATGTCCCCTCACTTGTCCCCATGGGGCAGGACCTTGCTTTTGCCCTTTGTCTCCTCCCCTATTTCAAAAGAGGCCCCCACCCCTGACATCTCTGGCTGGAAAGGCTGCTGCTGGGGTGGCCCCAAGCCAAGACTTACCTGGGAATGGCGGCCTCACTCAGAAGGGTGCTCTGATATGGGGGCACAGGTGGGTCTTTGGGGACCCCTCCTGGGTGATGCCAGGGAGAGAACAGTGGCTCCAGCATGCTTCGGGGCAGCTGTAAAGTGAGGGGGTCCTGCAAGGTGGGCAGGGCAGGCGGTGTCTGGTGGGAGCCCAGGCTCTGCCTCCACGGCTGCAGCTTTGGAGCGATGGTGTATTCACCACGGACAGGCATCATCCTCAACAACGAGCTTCTGGACTTATGCGAGCGATGCCCCCGGGGTTCCGGCACTACCCGCTCACCTGGTGAGAACAAGGCTTCCCACCCGGGCTCCACAAGGGCCCCCCACCAGGGAAGAGGAGGGAGGGGGCTGGGCTGGGGCTGCATGCTGACCCCTGGATGGGTCACTGCACTCGCTAAGCCGCTGTTTGCTCAGCAGTGAATGGAGACAGGGTGGGTGGAGCTCCCGGAAGGTGCTGGCCCCCAGTTCCAGGCGAGCGGTCCCCGTCCTCCATGGTGCCCTCCATCCTGATCAGCAAAGCCCAGGGGTCGAAGCTAGTGATTGGCGGGGCTGGTGGGGAGCTCATCATCTCTGCCGTGGCCCAGGTGAGTCTGGGGGGGCTCTGGGCTCCAGTGTCTCCTCTCTGGGCAGCATACTGTCTGACTCTCCCTGGAGTGGGGATGTGAGGGCTGAAGTAGGGTAGTGGGTACCCCCTTTCTCCCTGTATCCCTCATCTCTCCCCCAGGCCATCATGAACAAGCTGTGGCTTGGCTTTGACCTGAGAGCGGCCATTGCAGCCCCCATCCTGCATGTCAACAGTAAGGGCCATGTGGAGTACGAGCCCAGCTTCAGCCAGGTGAGGCTGAGGTCTGAGCTGGATGCCTAGGGCAGAGCCCACTCCCCAAGTCCATGCTGCTCAAAGCCACCTGAGAGGAACTCAGTCACTGAGATTCTTAGGCCAGGTACACTTCAGCTTTGGGGGGCCATAGGAGTTGGGGACCTCGATGGGTGAGGCTGTCAGTGACCTCCAGGCCAGTTCCGTGGCCTCCAAGACAGACAGTAGGGTGTTGTCTACACTGCTCCCAGGCTGAGGATCTCAGCACCTTGGTCTCTCTGGTCTGTTGTTGATGCCATTTTTCAGAAGTGAGTTTTCCTGGCTGGGGCCTCTCAGACTCTCCCTCATGGTGACTATTTCCTTGTGTGATTTGTAACTTATATTTGTGACTTTATTTGTAACTTATATTTGTGACTTTATTTGTAAAAGAGGTTGTTTTTCCTGTGGCAGTCTATAAAGTGATTTTCTTCTGGGGCATTGGTGGTAATTTTTACTACAGGTGTGTGCCACCACACCTGGATAGTTTTTATTTTTTTGTTTTTCGTAGAGACAGGGTCTCTCGCCATGTTGCCTAGGCTGGTCTTGAACTCCTGAGCTCAAGCAATCTTCCCACCTTGGCCTCCCAAAATGCTGGAATTATAGGCATGAGCCACCATGCCTGGCCTACAAACATTTTTTTGATTCCCCACAAAAGCCCAGGGTGCAGCTCCAGGGGCTGAATTCTCCTGGCTGACTCCTCCTCCATCCATAGACAGAGACTCGGCTTCCTTGGAGAATCTTTGGGTTGATGGATGCCCTTTGTTATGACCTATTTAAAAGATTGATAGGGCCGGGCACTGTGGTCATGCCTGTAATCCCAGCACTTTGGGAGGCGGAGGCAGGTGGATAACCTGAGGTGAGGACTTCCAGGCCAGCCTGGCCAACATGGTGAAACCCCGTCTCTAGTAAAAATACAAAAATTAGCCAGGCATGGTGGCGCACACCTGTAATCCCAGCTACTCAGGAGGCTGAGGCAGGAGAATCGCTTGAACCTGGGAGGTGGAGGCTGCAGTGAGCTGAGATCGTGCCATTGCACGATTTTTGTTGCCTGGGCAACAAAAGCAAAATTCTGTCACAAAAAAAAAAAAAATATATTGATATCTTTTCAAGGCTCCAAACTTGGTTCCTGAGGTCAGTTCAGTTCAGCTAACTGAGGTTCAAGGTCCTCAAAGCTGCCTCTCCTGTTATGAGATTTCTTCGGTCTCAAGTCCACCTTCCAAGCCCTTAGAACCTGAGAACCATGGACTGGGACCTTAGTGTAGGAACAGAGTGTAGTCCCCAACAGTCTTAGTCTTCACACCTTGAGACTAAGGACCTCAGCCTGTTAGGCTCAAATTCTTGGAGTTTGCAGGCCTCCCTCCCCATGTAGGGTCCTTCGCATGACAAGAAGACCCTCTCAGGGCTCTCAGGTTCCAGGGATCTTAGATATGGAGGATTTCAAGATCCAGGGCACATGCTTTGGAGCCCTCCTCCCTTAACTCTTTATTTATTTATTTATTTATTTTTAGGCAGTCTCACTCTGTCACTCAGGCTGGAGTGCAGTGGCACAATCTTGCCTCACCGCAACCTCCGCTTCCCAGGTTCAAGCAATTCTCCTGCCTCAGCCTCTGAGTAGCTGGGACTACAGGTGTGCAAACCAAGCCTGGCTAATTTTTGTATTTTTAGTAAAGACGGGGTTTCCTCCTGTTGGCCAGGCTGGTCTCGAACTCCCAATCTCAAGTGATCTGCCCACCTTGGCCTCCCAAAATGCTGGGCTTACAGGCATGAGCCACTGTGCCTGGCCCTCCCTTGACTCTTGACTGAAGGACCTTTGTCCTCGTGAACATCAATTCTCAGGACCTTTCACTCTGAGGACCTGAAATGCTGAGAATTTGGGAGATGACAGTCTGGGGACTGGGATTAATGGAATCCAGTGGCCCACGAACCTAAGGTTTTCAGTTCCCTTGGGGAGTTGGAATGTCAGCTATTCAGGTCTAGGGCTTTCCATGGAGTAAATCCTAAACTCTGGGTTGGAGACTTCAAGCCTCCAAGGACCTTCACAGCTAAGGCCCAGGGACTAGGGTGAGGAGAGTCTTTGATCCTCAGGGTCTTGGAGTTTGGCCAGTGGACTCTGAGGAATGGAGTCTCTGAGCACTCTAAGTCCAGCTTTGGCTTCAGCAGTGAGGATCTTGGCCTTCAAGTCTAAGGACAGTGGGCAATTCTACGAATTGTCAGGCACAGGGAACTTACAGCCAAATGTGCAGGGCTCCAAAGACCTCATTTGCCCTGTCAGCAGCTCAGGCCATGTGGCATCACCTGATGCACCTAGATGTCTCCGGAATCTCAGGCCCTGCGGGGTAAGGTTCTCGGGCCATTAGTCTTTCTTTTTTTTTTTTTCTTTTTTTGGCTTGTTATTGTTGTTGAGACACAGTTTCACTCTGTCACCCAGGCTGGAGTGCAGTGGCACAATCTCAGCTCATTGCAACCTCCACCTCCTGGGTTCAAGTGATTCTCCTGCCTCAGCCTCCCGAGTAGCTGGGATTACAGGCCCACACCACCGTGCCCAGCTGATTTTTGTTTTATTAGTGGAGATGGGGTTTTACCATGTTGGCCAGGCTGGTCTGGAACTCCTGACCTCAGATATCCGCCTGCCTCGGCCTCCCAAATTGCTGGGATTACAGGTGTGAGTGACTGCGCCCAGCCAAGTTCTCAGGTCATTAGTCTTAAATGGTATCTGGAAACACGGGGCCCTCGTAGCACAGGTCCCTGTACTCTAGAACTTCTGCCCCTTTACAGACTGGTAGTTCGTGAGGACCATAGCCCCCGGGCAAGGTACTTGGCATCTTAGGAACAAGCACAAGGCTAGGGGCTACTTTGGTCTCTGACTTCCTTGAAGTCCACAAATTCAGGGTCTTGAGTCTGAGCCTGTAGGCCCCCATGCCCTGAGTGTCTCACACTGTGGGACTGTGTGTGCCTTTAGCTTAGGGATCTAATTTCCTTGGATTCATGGGTATTCACGTCCTTATCCTAGCTGAATTCTCCACCAACAGACACCAGTAGGGCCCTAAAGTTGTGGGTTCCTGGGTGTCTAAGGTCTTGACATCGTGTGTTGAGATCGTAGGTCTTTTTTGAAAACTTTTTGAGGCAAGGTCTTGTAACCGCGGATTCATCAAGACAGGGGAATTACAATAGAGAAAGAGTAATTCAGGCAGAGCCTGCTGGGTGGGAGACCGGAGTTTTATTATTACTCAAATCAGTCTACCTGAACATTCGGGGAGTACAGTTTTTTCGTGTTTGTTTTGTTTTGTTTTGTTTTTGAGACAGAGTCTCGCTCTGTCGCCCAGGCTGGAGTGCAGTGGCGTGATCTGTAACCTCTGCCTCCCAGATTCAAGCAATTCTCATGTCTCAGCCTCCCAAGTAGCTGGGATTTCAGGTGTGTGCCACCACGCCAGGCTAATTTATGTATTTTTAGTAGAAACAGGGTTTCTCCATGTTGGCCAGGCTGGTCTCGAACTCCTGACCTCAGGTGATCTGCCCACCTCGGCCTCCCAAAGTGCTGGGATTACAGGCATGACCACCACACCTGGCTAGGGTGCAGTGTTTTTAAGGACAGCTTGGTGGGTTGGGGGAAGCCAGTGAGCCAGGAGTGCTGACTGGTCAGGGATGAAATCACAGGGAGTTGGCTGGGCCCGGTGGCTCACGCCTGTAATCCCCGCACTCTGGGAGGCTGAGGTGGGTGGGTCACCTGAGGTCCAAGGTCGGGAGACCAGCCTGGCCAGCATGGCGAAAACCTGTCTCTACTAAAAATACAAAAATTAGCTGGGCGTAGTGGCAGGTGTCTGTAATCCCAGCTACTGGGGAGGCTGAGGCAAGAGAATCACTTGAATCTGGAAGGGGAAGTTGCAGTGAGCCACGATCGTGCCATTGCATGCCAGCATGGGTGACAGAGCAGGACTCCATCTCAAAAACAGACACACACACACACAAACCGGGAAATCGTAGAATCATAGGGAGTTGAAACTGTCTTCTTGAGCTGAGTCAGTTCCTGGGTGGGGGCCACAAGATCAGATGAGCCAGTTAATCCATCTGGATGGTGCCAGCTGATCCATCAAGTGCAGGGTCTGCAAAATATCTCCAACACTGATCTTAGGAGCAGTTTAGGGAGGGTCAGAATCTTTAGACTTCAGCTGCATGACTCCTAAACCGTAATTTCTAATCTTGTGGCTAATGTGAGTCCTATGAAGGCAATCTAGTGCCCAGACAAGAAAGAGGTCTGCTTTGCGAAAGGGCTGTTACTGTCTTTGTTTTAAACTATATACTAAGTTTCTCTCAAAGTTAGTTCAGCCTACACCCAGGAATGAACAAGGACAACTGGGAGGTTAGAAGCAAGATGGAGTTGATTAGGTTAGATCCCTCACTGTCTCAGTCATAATTTTGCAAAGGCGGTTTCAGTCTTGCTCTTTTGCCCAGGCTGGAGTGCAGTGTCACGATCAAGGCTCACTGCAGCCTCAAACTCCTGGCCTCAAGGGATCCTCCTGCTTCAGCCTCCTGAGTAGCTCGGACTACAGGCACATGGCCACCACATCCGACTAATTTTTTCTTTTTTCTTTTCTTTTATTTTTTAATAAAGACGTGATCTTGCTATGTTGCCCAGGCTGGTCTTGAACTCCTGAGCTCAAAAGATCCTCCTGCCTCAGCCTCCAAAAGTGCTGGGATTACAGGTGTGAGCCACTGGGCCCAGCCCAATTTTTGATTTTCTTGTAGAGACGGTGTCTTGCTTTGTTGTTGCCCTGGCTGTTCTCAAACTCCTGGCCTCAAGTGATCCTCCCACCTTGGCTCCCAAGTGGCTAACACTGTAGGTATGTGCCACCATGCCTGGCTTTTTTTTTTTTTTTTTTTTTTTTTTTTTGAGAAACAGGATCTTTCTGTATTGCCCAGGCTGATCTCAAACTCCTGGCCTCAAGTGATCCTCCTTCCTCAGCCTCCCAAAGTGTTGGGATTACAGGTGTGAGCCACTGTGCCTAGCCTCAGTGTCTAAATCTTGAGAAGCCATGTCCTTCATCGAAGGCCCCCTGAACTCAGATTTGCACTTCAAGGCCCTGGTGTCCTTGGATCCAGAACAGACATGAACTTGCATCTGGAGGTCTTCAGGCCTGGGTGGTGTCCTTCGTACATAGTCCCTGGAGGCTGACCTTGTTCTCTACGGGCCTTTGGATCTCTTTCATGCTCCCATCAGGTCCTCCCCTCTTCCTGTGTCTTCAGGCCCTCTTCCTTTCAGTCTTGCCTTTTGATCATTTTTCTCATTTCTTACAGAGGTCCCTCCCTTCGGGAGATGGGCTGAACTGCCCTCCCCTGTGAACCTGCTTTCTCTCCTCTCCAGGAGGTACAGAGGGGACTCCAAGACCGTGGCCAGAACCAGACCCAGAGGTCCTTCTTCTTGAACGTGGTCCAGGCCGTGTCCCAGGAGGGGGCCTGTGTGTATGCCGTCTCGGACCTGAGGAAGGGTGGGGAGGCCGCAGGCTACTAAGACACTGCTCTGCCCAGAGCTGAAGTCCGGCCCCACCATGGGTCCTATGTCCAGGCTGGACATGGCTGGGGGACCAAGTACTCCGGCAGGATCTGGACCCCTGGCAGGGGAGTCCAGCTGAGAGTGGAAGAGGTGGCAGGGACCAGCTGGGCAGATGGGAGGCTGAGCCCCGTCCCTGACCCCCTTTCCCAGAGCCCCTGGTGGCCCTGAACTGGCCCCTCTATCCCTCCGCAGGCCTCTTGCCTGGGGCCACTTTCCCACCCACTCAACCTGTATATCCTCCAGTTCAAGATTAAAGAAGAGGCGGACTGTGGCCTGATTCCATGGTTCTACGTGGGGGAGGGGACCATCAGACAGTGCACAGAGGGGTGCCTGCACCAGGCTCCTATGGTTCTCCACACTGCACCACCATGGAGGTGGGGAAACTGATGCTCGAAGACCAGCCGAACCTCAGCCAGGCCACCCCTGGACAGAGACAAGTGCCACCTCTGCCTCCCCTACACCTCACCACTCTGGTGACCAGGACTCAGCAGCCTGACTGGCCCCAGTCCTGAGAGCTGGTTAACTGAAAAATCACACAATTCACAAATTTGGAAAAGATACTTTTTTCTTTCTTCTTTCCTTTCTTTTTTTCTTTCTTTTTTTTTTTTTTTTTTTTTTTTGAGATAGGGTCTTGCTCTGTCGTTCAGGCTGGAGTGCACTGGTGCAATCACAGCTCACTGCGCCCCTTAACCTCCTGGGCTCAAGCCATCCTTCTGCCTCAGCCTCCCAAGTAGCTGGGACTACAGGTGTAACCTGGCCAATTTTTACATTTTTTTTTGTAGAGACAGGGTCTTGCTATGTTGCCCAGGCTGGTCTTGAACTCCTGGTCTCAAGCCATCCTCCCTCCTCAGCCTCCCAAAGTGCTGGGATTATAGGTGTGAGCCGTGAGCCACTACCCCCGACAAGATTTTCCTTTTTTTTTTTTTTTTTCCTTCAACTTGTATTTTAAGTTCAGGGGCCCATATGTAGGATATGCAGGTTTGTTACATAGATGAACACGTGCTTTGGTTGTTTGTTGCAGAGATCAACCCATCACCTAGGTATTAAGCCCAGCATCTATTAGCTATTCTTCCTGAAGCTCTCCTCCCATCCCCCGACTTTCTTTTTTCTTTTTTTTCCTTTGAAACAAAGTCTCACTCTGTTGCCGAGGCTGGAGTGCAGTGGCACAATCTCAGCTCACTGCAACTTCTGCCTCCCAGCTTCAAGTGATTCTCCTGCCTCTGCCTCCTGAGTAGCTGGGATTACAGGCGTGTACCATTGCACTCAGCTTATTTTGCATTTTTAGTAGAGATGGGGTTTCACCATGTGGCCAGGCTGGTCTTGAAATCCTGACCTCAGGTGATCCACCTGCCTTGGCCTCCCAAAGTGCTGGGTGATTACAGGTGTGAGCCACAGTGGCAACTTTATTTTTCATAAAGAGTTACAACCTGCAGGGTGGCCATCCGCCACTTTCAAAAGCATAGCCTCTGGCAGAGACCAGAGACAGGCACTTCTTTTTTTTTTTTTTTTTTTTTTTTGAGATGGAGTCTCGCTCTGTTGCCCAGGTTGGAGTGCAGTGGCGCCATCTCAGCTCACTGCAAGCTCCGCCTCCCGGGTTCACGCCATTCTTCTACCTCAGCCTCCCGAGTAGCTGGGACTACAGGCGCCCGCCACCACGCACAGCTAATTTTTTTCGTATTTTTAGTGGAGATGGGGTTTCACCATGTTAGCCAGGATGGTCTCGATCTCCTGACCTTGTGATCAGGAGATAGGCACTTCTAAGGAGGAGAGGTTGGGGCAGGAGCTATATGCTGAAGGGGTTGGCTAAACATACATATTCAACAGGTTACAGGGAGAGCTATGAATATTCATGAAGGCAGTCCTGACACGTGCATTGAAAGAACATGCATGTGACATAGGACTCATGTTCACTGTAGGGTGGAGATGGTGGAGACTTAATATTAAAATATATTACAAGGCCAGGCACAGTGGCTCACACCTATAATCCTAGCACTTCATGGAGCCAAGGCGGGTGGATCACACGAGGTCAGGAGTTCAAGACCAGCCTGGCCAACATGGTGAAACCCCAACTCTACTAAAAATATAAAAATTAGCCGGGCACGGTGGCGGGTGCCTGTAATCCCATCTACTTGGGAGGCTGAGGCAGGAGAATTGCTTGAACTCAGGAGGCAGAGGTTGCAGTGAGCCAAGATGGTGCCACTGGACTCCAGCCTGGGCAACAGAGTGAGACTCCTTCTCAATAAAAAAAATAAAATAAAATAAAATAAAGTAAAATAAAATAAAATAAAATAAATAAAAAATAAAATAAAATAAAATAAAAACAATTAGGCTCCATCTGTCGAAAGATCTTTTCAGGGCCTGAAGGCCTGCAAGTGAGCAGCCTCTGAAAACCAACCAGAGCAGTTCATGGTCAATGATCTCTTATCAGGCGAAAGTTACTGACATTGGTCTCTTGTCTAGTCAGAGCTGTAGTTACAGCTGGAAGAACAGGGTGTCAATAAGTCAGCATCCGTGAGCTGGATGTGCTGCCAAGTGTATTAACGTTGCTTCAGGCCGGTGCTTGTTTAGTTGCTGGAGAAAAAGGAAATCTTCGTTGCTGTTAGAACATAGCTTATTCTTTAAGTGCGGGGTGCATGAATTAACCCTTGCCTGGCTTGGCCTTGGGTCCTCTTTATAATTTGGCATCTTATTGCCACAGAATCTGTTATGTCACTTTTTTTGAGACAGGGTCTGGCTCTGTCACCCAGGCTGGAATACAGGGCGCGATCTTGGCTCACTGCAGCCTTTGCCTCCCTGGCTTAAGTCATCTTCTCACCTCAGCCTCTCAGGTGGCTGGGACTACAGGCACAAACCACCGCGCACGCTGCCATACTCAGCTATTTTTTTTTTTTTTTGAGACAGGGTCTCACTTTATCACCCAGGCTGGAGTGAAATGGTGCAGTCTCAGCCCACTGCAGCCTCGACCTCCTGGGCTCAAGCCATCCTCCCACCTCAGGTCCCCAAGTAGCTGGGAGTACAGGTGTGCATCGCCACGCCCAGCTGGTTTTTTGCTTTTTTTGTAAAGATGGGGTTTCACCATGTTGCCCAGGCTGGTCTCAAACTCCTGGCTTCAAATAATCCTCCTGCTTCAGCCTCCCAGAGTGCTGGGATTACAGGTGTGAGTCACTGCGCCTGGCCCTCATCCATGTTTTGAATGAAGTGATTCTTTGTGGTGAGGGCCGTCCCCACACTGTAGGATGTTGAGCAGCATCCCGTGCCTCAGCCTGTGTGATGCGGTAGCACTCCCCACCACACACCCACTCATGACAACCAAAACTGTCTCAAGACAGTGCCACATCCCCTGGTTGAGAATGGCCGCTGTAAACCAGCAGGCCCCTATAACTTCCATAAACAGCTTTGCCAGCCGCAGGGCGGGTACATGGCGCTCTCTGGGGATCTTGCTAGAGGGATCTGGGACTCCTGCCCCTCACTGGTTCCTGGGAACATCGGCTGTTCCTACATCACCCCAAATGTGCCACAGAGGTTGTTTCAGTCTGCCTGGGCTGCCATAACAAAAATATTGGAAAGTGGGTGCTTATAACATTTTACAGAAATTTATTGCTCACAGCACTGGAGGCTGGGAAGTCCAAGATCAAGGTGCTGGCAGATTTGATGTCCTGTGAGGGCCCACGTCCTCATATATGGCGCCTTCTAACTGACATAGTGGAAGAAGCTAGCTAGCTCTCTGGGGTCTCTTTTATTTAATTACTTTAGAGACAGGGTCTCACTCTGTCACCAAGGCTGGAGTGCAATGGCGTGATCATAGAGCTCTCTCCCGTACCCAAGAGATCTTCCTGTCTCAGCCTCCTCAGTAGCTGGGACTGTAGGTGCAGCCCACTATGCCCGGCTCCTGTGGTCTCTTTTATAGGGCACTAATCCCATTCGTGAGGGCTCTACCCTCATGACCTAACCACATCCCAAAGGCCCCACCTGCTGATACTATCACATTGGTGATTAGCTTTCAACATGTGAATTTTGGGGGCATAGTGGGCCCACCTGGATGGTCCAGGATAATCTCCCCATCTCAAAATCCTTAACTGAATCACATCTTCAAAGTCACTCTTGCCACATAAGGTCTGATCTTGGGTTCTAGGGATTGGGACGTGGACATATTTGGAGGTCGTATGTGGGAGAGGGGCTGGATGGGGCTAATTCCTAATCTGGGCTTGACTGCGTGACTGGAAGGGGTGGTCTGGCAGACTAGGAGGAAGGTCAGGGAGCAAAAGCTGGCTCACTTTGAGATGAGGGGCCAAGCCGGCCCACCACTCGGGCAGACCTGCCATCATCACTGACTCTCGTGGGCCGCTGCCAGAACTCAGGCAGATGCGAGACCACCAGCTTCTGCTGGGATCTGGCTTTGGAAGTCAGCAGAAAACATCTTTGAAAGCAGCAGGCCTGGGTCAGGGGTCCAGGGTGCAGAAATGGTGGGTTTAGAGAGAAGGGAGTCTCTGGAGTGCTTCAGTGTGGTGGGATCCAGAGGCTGAACTCACACCGTCAAGGCCCTCTGTGTGGTAGCCTCCCCCTAGATGGGCTCCCAGGCCATGGTCCCAATGGCTTCAACTGAACTTCACGCCCTGCAGGGTGACAGAGCTTCTCCCCTTGCAGTTTAACCAAAGTCCCAGATCCAGCTCTCAATGGGGCCCCTCTGAGCAGTCTTCATGGGCAGGGGAGGGCTGAGGAGAAGTGGCTGGCTCAGGTCTGTGGGGCCACCTTGAGACCTGTTGGTAGCAGCCACCTGTCCCAAACCCTGTGGGCCAAAAAGGAAAAGGGAACCAAAGGAGGAAGAGGCTGCTAGGCACAAATCTCAGGTGCCCCACGGTGGGAACCTGGCTCTGTGCTCCCAGACCACACCTGCACCTGGGCCGGGGTGCTGGGAGGTTGCCTGGACTTTGCTTGGGAAGGCCTGGCCAGTCTGTCCCATCAGTGCCTCCCAGCGGCACCCACAGAGCATGATAACTTTGTCCCTGCATGTCAGGGAGAGGAAAAGGGGCTCCTCTTCCCTGCAGCAGGGGTGCAACCCTGGCTCCGTGGTGCTGGATTCTGACTTACCCGCAGAGTGAGTGTGCACTCCATGGACCCTTGGCCAACCTTGGGACTGCCACCCACCCAGAGAAGGCTCGTTCACCAAATCCAAATAAATAGGCCAGGTGCGGTGGCTCACGTCTACAATCCCAGCACTTTGGGAGGCCAAGGCAGTTGGATTATTTGAGGTCAGGAGTTCAACACCAGCCTGGCTAA